AAACAACCCAGAGGGGGAAACATTACCAAAAGATGAACACAAACTTGGACTGGGCTGGCGGAGAAACACTGGACAAGACGATGAACTGGCACAGGAGAGCAAACAGGAGGAGACGATAAAAAAGAAATAATTAATGAACAGACAGATGAACATATATCAGATGTGCTGCATTCATCATTTATCTCCCCGCTCCTGATGCTGAAAATCCTCTCCACATGTTGATCTCCACCATGATCACTGTCAGGATGCTGTTGACCAGCAGATGAGCAGTGTCTGCTTTCCTCTACTCGAGACAGAGTTTAATCTTTGCCTCCTCAGTCCTCGTGTGATTTTAGTAGCACGACTGAACTTTTAGTGATTCCAGTGAAAACATAAAATGTCAAAACAAGGAAACAATGTGTGACAATTTACTTTTATAACACTGTAAATCTCAGCTTTCTCTTCATGTCAGGTGTTGAAATTGTTTGCTAGTTTTTATTATTGTGTTGATGTTTCACTAAAGATCCCTTTGAGTTGACAATAAATAGGTTAGACATGAACTTCAGCAAGGAAACTAACAATCTTCATATCTGATTCTTTGTATATTTAGGTTTAACGGGGGATTATGATGAGGATTGTTGTCAATAGCATGATTGACTCCATGTCAAAGCATGTAGTGTATGTAGACAGTGAGTTCTGTGTGATTAAATTAACAGTATTGCACTAAAATATTATAGTGAATCTCAGTACAATAGTTGAGGACACTACAAATGAGACCAAACATTTGAATGAAGCATTTCTGTTCAGAATAATGCCACACTGAAATGACCACAGGCGAAGCAGTGGCGCAGTAGGTAGTGCTGTTGCCTCACAGCAAGAAGGTCGCTGGGTCGCTGGTTCGAACCTCGGCTCAGTTGGCGTGTCTGTGTGGAGTTTGCATGTTCTCCCTGCCTTCGTGTGGGTTTCCTCCGGGCACTCCGGTTTCCCCCAAAGTCCAAACACATGCTCTACAGGTGAACTGGGTAGGCTAAATTGTCCGTAGTGTATGAGTGTGTGTGTGAATGTTTCCCAGAGATGGGTTGCGGCTGGAAGGGCATCCGCTGTGTAAAAATGTGCTGTTCCGCTATGGCGACCTCAGATAAATAAAGGGACTAAGCCGACAAGAAAATGAAATGAAATGACCACCACATGAGTTTAATCTAAATGAAAGTGCAGATCGCGATGTTCTCCATCTGTTGATGGAGCTGTTTATAGATATTTTATGGCACAGTGAGGATAATATTTTGACTAAAGAATACACAAAGCGGTATATCTGCAATCAAAATTAATCACCACAGAGAATGGAACAATGTAAGCTTTTAGATCACACAACTATTTACTCCTTGTATTAAATTTGACCCAAAAATAAAATAAATTAGCTCTCAAAAAGCCTGCAAAATTAGTTTAATTACTATTATTATTATTGTTAGTATTATTACTGCATTAGTCTACGTCTACAAGAAGACACTTTCAGTCCATAGAGAGCCATGGCTGGTAGTTTATTCTTAAGTCTTGAATGTTTGAAAAATTCAGGAAATCTTTGAGGACGCTGAAGTTAAAGCCCAGTATCAACCAGGAAAGGAAATGTTTAACAAATGTTTGCTGCCATACACGTGCAATATGACCTGATGTAAGGACAAAATGCAGAACATAAAAACAGCACTAAACGAGCATGGCCTTCGTGTCAGACACCCTGATCAACAGCATTGTTGACCACGAAGATGCTCTCTTTGTGACCCTTGGTCCCTACAGAATGTTTTATTGGTGACCAAAAGATTAGGAAGATTCCTCTCAGGAGGACAATTACTCTGAGTTTTTGTTACAAAGACAAATGAACATTGCTGAGTGGAATCTGCTTATGTGTTTAAGCGAGTCAAACCAGAGCTCAGCATCAGGGAACTAGGCTTAACCTAGGTGTTTCCTTTAGTGTGGTCACTATGCGTTACGTTGAGGACTGACAGATTGGGGTGGGGGGGGGGGTTGGGGGGGGTGGGGGGGGTCACTGTTTCATTCCTAGTTTAGAGTCTTGATACAGGGGTGCAGGGATTGTGCTGTGGCTAAAACTCCTTGTCGTCTACCCAGCAGAAAACTTGTACCGCTGTCAATTCTGAATCGCCCCTGGTCACAGCTAGTAGACTTCATGACAGATCTCCCCGTCTCTGGAGGTAACACCTGCACTTTTGTCATTGTGGATAGATTCTCGAGATCTTGTAAATCGATGGAGGCTTTGGCACTGGAGGCTAATGTCACAACCAGGCCAGGTTCTCCCCACTTTCAGTTCTAATTATCCCTGCACATGCACATCATCTCGCTCCAGGCCCAGAGCCAGCATGTCATATCTGAGGGGGGCATTTTAATCCCATAGCAGGGTCACTAGACCTGTTGACTGATTTTGGTCCCTCTTGTTCCTTTCATTTGGGTTACTTGTTTATTACTTCGCATTACTGCCTGAGTTACGGACTAAATGCAGTAATATACTTATTAGAGTAATGATAATATGCACAGTTTCACTATTATTGATTTTATCCATGCAGGTTATACAACGATACCGTTTACATGAGGGCAGACGGATCATGGCTTCAGCGCCAAACGACTGCTTTAAATGATGTTTTATTCTCCTCATTTATTTCTATTTTTATTTCAAATTGTAACCCCTTGCCTCACTCAGGAAGGCAAAAGGATTGCAGGATTTATTAAACACTTTTTACAAACACTCCCTTATAAGGACATTGATAACACAGGAGACACAGGACCGACATGGGGTGACAACAAAGCACCACTGAATACCAGAACAAGACTGAAAGACACACACAGCACTATAAGTACACAGAACATGATGATATACAGGGGTGAGACACAGGTGGAAGTAATGAACATAAGGAAACGGCGGGAAATATAACGAAGGAGCACATGGGGAAGTGGTTCCAGCTTCGGCCAGGTCACTTGGTGGTTCAGTGTGGAGTTTGCATGTTCTCATCATGCTGGCGTAGGTTTCCTCTGGGTGCTCTGGTTTCCCCCACAAGTCCAAAAACATGTGGTACAGGTGAATTGAGTAGGCTCAATTGTCTGTAGTGTATGAGTGTGTGTGTGTGTGAATGAGTGTGTATGGATGTTTCCCAGTGATGGGTTGCGGCTGGAAGGCCATACACTGTGTAAAAAGAAAATATGCTGGATAAGTTGGCAGTTCATTCCGCTGTGGCGACCCCAGATTAGTAAAGGGACTAAGCTGACAAGAAAATGAATGAATGAATTCTGGGTAAAGACGTCACACTATGGCCACACATGCAAGCTAACCCACAGTTAGACTATATGTCACGCTTCACGTAGCCTTGCCATCAATTATCATTTATCAGTGTTAGGAAAAAGGTAAAATGTTCCAATCTACTGTCATTTGAAGAATAGAAGATAAATGTGTTACTCAGTGACATGTGAAGGCAGTAGTGTAGCCAGAAAACAGAGAGTCTGTCTGTGTACTGTCTTAAAAGAAATAAAAAATTCACAGTCATTACTGTGTACTGACATTACTGTTTAGACATTACTGTTTAAGTGTAGTAGCAAGGCAGCTTCTTGGTCAAGAGTGTTGTATGGCATAAGAAAGGTTATGAGAATAGGGAAATCTTATGAAAACCGCGTGCATACTGTAAGCTGTAGGATTACACTGTAAAAATGCAGGGTCCCGACACAAATCAATTAACTTAACACTTTTAATACATTTATGAAAATTAACATAAAATAAGTTGTCTAAATGACATCTCAAGAATTGTGTTGTTTCAGCTCATTTTAAATTAGCAGGTTGAACAAGCCAAAAACTTGTTTTGAGTGAAGGATTGTGATCTGGTGACTATTGTTGTCAAGTATTTGTTTGCAGCTTCTGGTTCTCATCGTGAGCAGCAAAACACTAGCTGTTTTCACTCACAAACAGTATTCTAAGCTTTAATGAGCGTAGTTGTGTGTTTGTGTGTGTGTGTGTGTGTGTGTACAGTTAAGTTGACCAATTTGCTAGATCATTTTTAAATTCATTTTCTTGTTGTGTGTTGCTGTGTGGAGCTCTGCCCGTCTGACCGTTCTGAATCTAGCTGCACTTTGAGCTTTATTTCTGTGTGTGCACCATCACTACTACTGCTTAATCCCTTTTGGATCACTTCTTTATATTGTTCTCTCGAGCTCCAGAATGTAATGCTGTTTCTCAAACATGATATTATTTTGCTTTTTAAACGTCTCTGCAGCAGCTGGAAATGTAAAGGTGTTATATTCATTAGCAAAACTAAGTGTTTGCTACAAAAACTAAATATTAATAAAACAGAAAAATAGATTAGACTAGTTCTGGCATGAAAGATCATGTACTGTTTAAAATCAATGTCTATAGCTAATAATACTTCTACATGTATATTAGACGAATTAGATGCAAAAATAAGTAGAAAAGCAAGGGTTACTTCTATTAGAGTTCTGCTTGTGTAAGTTTGATGTATTTCTCATAGCACATGATATCCAGCTTACAGTAATCTCAACAGAGCATACGCAGGGGTGTTTCTGCATTAGTGCAGGTAATCTGCAATAAATAACTCACGTCAACGACAGTTATACTGATATCAAGATCCTTTAATGTCAAGCATAAAATCCCCAGTAACATGGTTTATATTAACTGCAATACGTGCAAAATTAATGTAACAGCAACATAAAAAAAAACACATTGAGGAAAAGAATTAGGCATAAAGGATTAACTGAATTAAGCTATAAATACACAGAACATGTATATATTTAATGCTAATAAACCAAACACAATAACTGCTTTTTCAGAATGGTCTTGGTCGAATGGAAATGTCACATAAAGCAAGGCTTGTATTAAACAGGTCTTAGCAACTCTGAATAATGTCAGCGTCTCGAACAGTTGGCTGGAGAAAACCGAGGACGGATGGCATGTTGAACACTCACAGACACACGAGTCACAGCACAAGAGCACGCTCGGTCCAGTCAAACAGAGCTCAGAAACAGTCAGGATCAGCAGAAAAGGCTTTCAGGTGTTGCACAGTCGGAATCCTGAACACTTTTACTCTCCGTTCACTGGTGTCCTTCTGCTCTGGTTCATCTTTCACACGACGGTTGCTACAAATGCCGAGGAAGCTCAGGAACACGGGTAAGAACACGATGCCGTGCAGCGCCCCGAAGAGAATGACCAGGAACATGATTTTGAAGAAGGTCCTGAAGATGTAGCTTTTAGCTGCGGCGAGCACCACCACTCCTGCGATGGTGGACACGGCTCCCTGAATGATGGGATAGCCCAGCTTGTGGAGAGCATCCGTGGCTTTCTCATTCGCTGAGGACTTTTCACTGGACACAAAAGCATAGGAAATGTGAGCAGAGAAGTCCACGGAGAAGCCGATGCAGATGACAAGATTAATCATGGACACGGAGTCTAAGCTGATGTCCCAGAGCGCCATGAAGCCGGCCAATCCCACGATGACGGATGCGATGGAAAAGGTGACCCAGAGCGAGCAGAGAGGGTGCGGGATCAGCAGCAGGGAGATCACCAGCATCACGCACGTAGCAGCTACTAGGTTTTGGATTGTGTTGCTGACGATGACGGCATATTGGTCGAAATAGATGAATGCGGGATGATACACGATCAGATCAACAGGCGTCTCCAACCTCCCGCATGTGTGTGCAGCTTCTCTGAACGCATTCAACATGTCCTTCTCATCGATCGCTGTCTTGATGTTCACCGTTTGAATGAACATGCGTGTTGCATTGATATTATTATCGGTGAAATGAACATCGTGGCTAAACTCTGAGCGGTTAAGAAATGCAGGTAATTGAGTTTTGAATATCATTTCATTGTTTAAATCAAAAGAACTTTGGCCAAACTTCATATATGCATCAAGCCAAGAAGTTAGTGGAATCTCTGAATCTACCATTGTTAGATCTCGAAAGTTTTTCAAACACAAGTCAAGACTTTTACGAGCATCAGGGCTCCAGTACTGAAAATGCTCATCTTTGATGACTAACATGACATTCGGACCAAACGCAGAGAAGAACTCATCCTCTCTGTCATAGTAATCTGCAACATACGAGCCGTCTGTTGCTAAATGCTTCAGGTCTAGACCTTCTTCCATTTGGAAGCATCCGTAGATACTGACAGCTAAATATCCGGCGTAGATCAGACACACGAGCACCTTGACCCACACCTTTGCCAGAAATGGGCCATAATATTTCTTAAAGAACACTTCCATTGGCATTTCATGCTCCTTGTTTGTGTTTTCATCAAAAGCCCCACCAGCACAACAACTTACAGCATCGCCGCTGGGTTTTGGGACCGTCATGCATGTCAGAAAGTGTCTGTTGCTTTTCTCTCTCCGTCCGTTCAGGGCGAGACACGCGCCGAAGAAGGTGATGTTGAAGAGGTAGCAGAAGAGCAGAGCGGTGCTGGTGTACATGCAGAAGGACTGCACCGAGCGGAAGGGCGTCAGCAGCCCGATGTAGAAGGCCAGCACATCTGTCAGCGTGGTGATGGTGATGGACACGCCAGCCTCTTTATACGCTTCTGCTAAGCGGAACTCCACGCCTTTATCAACCGCAGTCTTCTGCCAGCTGGAGATCATTATGAACATGTCGTCAACGCCGACACCTGGAGGAAAGCAGAGCTAGTGAACACCAGCTGAGAGACACACCTGTAGATGATGACATTAATGAAGTTTACCTAGAATCAGAAAGGGTGCCGAGCCCACGGTCATGGCGAACGGCATCCCACAGAACAACAGCAGACCGAAGCTCGCCAACACGGCCATACCAGCAGACACCACGCCGAGTAACGCCACCCACACCTTCGTCCGGACACAGTCTAACCTGTGGATACACACCTGTCTAAATGAGCCTGTCTCACACTCTTAGATTAGGTACTTAGATTAGTATTATTTGAATACTGCGTACCTCAAACAAGAAAGAACTGCAATGTTGATGGCCAGGGCGTATGTGATGGAGAACAGAGGGATCACGGAGTCTGTATTGCCCTCAAACTCATTCTGTCTTGACACTGACGTGAAGTAAGACACACTGACCTGTGGAGATCCAACACACACATTAATGAGCTGCAGTGAAGACATGATCATGGCAGATTAGCACAGGTCACGACACTAGCAGAGAAACATCGGGCAAATGTATCTGTGTTTTCTTCAGATGTCTTTAAGGAATGGGTTACAGTGATTGGAGATTGTGTGTGTGTTAGGCCATGCTGAAGGACCTCTCGATCATTTTCACTCACCTTTTCCTGGTCTGTGTAATTAGAGAAGAACTGTATAAAGCCTTCAAGCCAGTCTGCGTTTCCCTTGCTCTTCTTCTCATCTAGGAAGTAATAAAGTCTGATCGCTTTGGCACTTTTCAGCATTGAGCTGTTTGGCTGTGTCTCTACACCACCGATGGTTGTTCCCAAAAATGTTTTGTCGTTGATCGGATATGTTATGGTCACAGAATCTATGTCGGCAGCATTATACCGAATAATGTCTAAAACTGCGTTTGACACACAGTTTCCCTTTATTTTGGCACAGAGCTTCTCGAAGGTGTTGCCCAGGTGTTGTAAAGTTTTCACTTGTCTGTCTAGCGCTAGGATTTCTTCAAAAGCTGCTGCAGTTAATATATTTTCTCCTTGTAAGTCTGTGATGATTAAAGAGGCGTACGTGCCTTCAGACATGAGCCTTAACTGGGAAAACTCATCAGATGGAGGGAAGTGTTCGGCCACGATCTCTCTGTCCCGCTTGGCAGGTCCATTGACAGGTGTGAACTGGTCTTCGATATCGTTTGCCTCCCTCTCCTTGAGGAAGATGAACCCCGCTCCAAGACCAGCAGCTACATATAAAGATAATAAGATAAACACAACCGGATGTCTCCCAATGAGACGGCCGAGTTTTTCAAAGACGAGAGACAGAGGTCTTTCGATGCAGTCTGTTTTGCACTTCATCGTCTTCCAGAGACACTTCTGCAGCTTGCGGTGAATCTCCCCAGAGTCATCCTCCTCTACACAGACTCAGTGTTATCACAGCATACTTATAGGCTGATCTGAACACTAACAGCTCATCTGTTACTCATTAACAAAATAAGGTCACTTACTAGCACACTTCCTTGTTGACACCTGCCTTCAGTATCACGGTCAGAAACTCTAGGGGGGAATGAATTGCCGTAATGAGGAAGTGGATACGGTGGAAATACTGATCTGTGATAATCAGAAATCATTGACTGACACACACAGTGCGAGTTCCTCCATCCAAGAAATTAAAATAGGTGGAACACAAACCCAAGCCTAGGTGACCCAAGTGAACTGGAAATATACGCTAGTTGTAGTTTTTAAGTGCACTTGTCATAGTTGAGTTGTGCTTTACAGAGTATGAAGATTTATTCTGATTTTTCTAACACATGCTTTTTAAGTACATTTATACTCTGCATAATATGCAATACTTTACACATTTTTTAAAGCTTATCCTACCTCCTTACTTGTACCCCTGCTAAACAGAACAATAAGAGATTAACTACTATTCCATTTAATTTTACAAAAGTCCCTTTAAAACATTTTCAAACTTGTAAAACTGATTTAAAAAACAATGTTAAAGTTAAATTTGTTCAGTGATTGGCGTTCTGGGACATGACCCGAGTGAAACACGGCAGAACCACTGAATTATTGAAAGATACAGAAACAATAGTGACATAATCAATCCTTGTTTCCTGAAATCACATGACCTTGAGAACTCATAACCACTGATTAAAACGGAAGATTTGCCAAGTTTTGTGCTTCAAAAGCATCCATTGCTGTATCAAGTTAAAGATAAAATATAAAGCTAATTAACCACCTAGCTCCCTGATCGCAAACTGAAGACTGGGGTCCCTGGTCAGTACTACCAAGGCCAGCAATCCTGAGACTGTACCAAAAATTTTCTATTAGAGACAGGTCGGGACTGTAGGCAGGCCAGTCAAGTACCTGCATCCTCTTCCTCCGCAGCAGGACTCTTTAATTTGAGCAGAATGTGGTTTAGAAGAAGGCAGCAGCATATTGGGCTCCAGAATCTCTCTGTGCTTGGCTTTTGGACTTGTTGCTGGTAACAGTCTGGATCCTCTTCTTCTTTGGTCTGGAGCACACGACGTGCATTTCTCCCAAAAAAAACACCTGAAACACTGCTTCATCTGAGCACAGGACACGTCTCCACTGTGTGAAGCTCCATCCCAGATGCCTCTAAGCCCAGAGAAGTCACCGACGCTTTTGGACACTGTTAACATTTTGGTGCAGTACAATTTCAGTGATAAAGGTTGAACGCAGTAGTCCTGAGCCCATGTGTCAATGAATGAATGAATCTTGATGCAGTGTCGCCTGAGGCAGTGGTTCCCAACCTTTTTCTTAGCCCCCCCCTATATACAGTATGTGTGTGTTTGTGTAATATTAATATGTAATATTTTTAGAAAATATAATTAATCAGTTTTAACTTGTCTTGGCCTTCAATAAAACCAAAGTTAAGGTAGGCTTTGTCATACTGTCTAATCTTTTTCTTCGCCTCTGAAGAATCACTGCATTTACGTTTCTCTGCCATTTTTGTTTTGATTTTGCCTTTACAAGAAGTTGGACAAGCACATTGCGCAAGTGAGCAAAATTTAAATAATTATTTAAAGTTATTTATTTTAATTATTTTTACTATTATGTTGGAATTTTAAGCATGTGTTTAGATTTTTATTTATTTTTTTGGTACTTAAAAATACATATATAATAGTAGGGCTGCTCGATTTTGGGAAAAATCATAATCACGATTATTTTGGTCAATTGTTATCAAGATTATTCAAAACGATTATAAGTTAAAGTCAAAATTATTAGCGCTCCTAAGAATTTTTTTTTATAAATATTTCCCAAATTATGTTTAACAGAACAAGGAATTTTAACAGTATTTCCTCTAATAAATGAAACCTATTTTAAGGTCAATATTATAAGCCCCCTTAAGCAATAAATATTTTTGATTGTCTGCAGAAGAAACTACTGTCATACAATGACTTGTCTATTTACCCTAATTAAGCCTTTGAACTGCACTTTAATCTGAATGCTTGTATTTTTAAAAATATCTAGTAAAATATTATGTGCTGTCATCATAGATAAGATAAAAGAAATCAGTAATTAGAAATGAGATATTAAAACTATTATGTTCAGTAATAAAAAAAAAACTTCTTTCCATGAAACAGAAATTGGGCAGGAAAAGTTAATATTCAGCTATATATTCAGGAGGGCAAATAATTCTGACTTCAAGTGTTTACATACAGTTATTTTCCACTCTGCAATGGAAAGAGAAATAAATACAATAGAATAAAAATATGAAACAAACTGTGCTTTAAGCATCTTCACTGTAAGAAAAACACTTTAGTTACAAAAATCCTTCAGTCAAGAGCAGAGAAACATTTTCTCGTTATGTTTGATTAATGATAATAAAAACAGGCGGCAGCAGGAATATTTCTCGCTGTCTCTTTAATGGTTTCTCTTTCACGTCTTTTGATCCTCAACTCGTTTGTTTATTACACAAATAAGGGTTAATATAAATAATCACTAAACACCGTGTTTTGACATCTATTTGACCATTAAAGCGCTCACGTTAATGACTCTAGATGTCTGCGCTCCTCTGCTCGTCTCAGTGTGCGAATGAGAGCGAATGCTGACCGGCCGCATGCTTCTGGCTGCGTGTGCGTGCTGCACACACACACATTCGCGCTTTAAAGAGCAACACCTGTACAACTGGAAAGGGGGCGGTATATGATGCATATAATCGTTTATCTCGATTAATGCTTTTTTATAATCGTTTGAAATCGAAATCGGATTTTCGATTAATTGTACAGCCCTGTATAATAGTGGAGCATTTTTATGCCTTTTTCTACCTCAATACTTATCCTCTCCCACGCCCCCCTTGTGAACTCTGGCGCCCCCCTTAGGGGGTCTGAGGGATGGGAGATTGTTCAGCTTAGGCTTGCATCCTTGCCTATGAAGCTATTTTTGGTGTAAAAGTCCTAATCGCTGTCTCTCATTTGCAAATGTTCGTTTGGCACTCTCGCTCTTTAAGGTATGTTTACTTCTTTTTGTGAAATCATTGATGCTTCTAGTTTGTTGTTAGTTTAAATAAAGCTGTGTTAAGAATCGGTGTTCTTAGCTAGGATAGTAATTCTTGTTTCTATGGAAGGTAGCATGGCTAGCTTACCTTAATGTGAAGTTTGCTATTCAGTCTTCTCAGATTGCACAGTTGGAAGCTCATGATAGACTGATTATTAGTACTATGAAGACACCTCATTCACACACACTCTCTGCTGAGTCCTGTTATCGGCAAGTGAGCATTACTGAAGCGTTTTCCTGATCTTGCCTTGTTCCACTTTTGACCTTTGCTTTGTTTTACTGTTTACGTTGTTTTGCTGCCTGTCTCGACCACTCGCCTGTACTCTGACTATGCTTTTGGGTTATCTGCATGCTCCTGTCTGTCCCTGTTTTGAGTGAATGTGTTTGAGATGATCATTATTACAGTAATAATACAGATGTGCAGTGTAAACTAGAGGACAGTTCAGTTTTATTATGATAGTAAATGAAGAAAGACAAAAGGAGAATACCACTCAAACACACACACACACACACTTAAGTTCAGGAATAATGCGATGAAGAGACTCCAGAACATCTCACTGCTGCTGAATGATCCTGCAGAGCACAGGATTATGGGTAAATAAGTCCAGTCCTCAATCTCTCAGTTTTCAGCACAGTTTGACTGATGATCCACGATAAACCCTAAACCCAGGATAGAGCGGCTCAGTAAATGTGGTCTGGACTGAGTGGATGAGGATCATTGTGTCTCCACTGATGTTGTAGAAGCTCAGAGTTCCTGCTCTGTGATCCAGATACACTCCTATCCTCCTGCTGATCGGCTCTCCTGGTAAATGGGTATGTTTGTTATTGTGTCTGAATTCGTAGCTGGAGGAATAGCAGATCAAACTCCAGGACTGAGGATTCCATCCAAACGCACACTCAATATCTCCCTTCCTCCTGATGCTCTTATATGCCACTGATGTAGACGCATCCTCTCCAGTCCAGTCAATCTCCCAGTAGCAGCGTCCACACACACTCTCTCTGCACAACACCTGCAGTACATTATCGAATCTGTCTGGATGATCAGGATACGGCTGTTTCTGATCCACATTCATCACTTTCCTGTTCTCCTCAGACAGAATGAGTTCAGCGTATGCTGTGTTTGGGTCCAGTGTGAGGAAACAGGCATCTGAACACAAGAAGACACACACCTTATAACAGCAAAGCTCTGTGTGTGTGTGTGTGGGTGTGGGTGTGTGTGTGTGTGTGTGAGTGTAGTGTTTGTCTCAGTGTGTGTGCTGACATACATTTGTGCAGTCCTGCTGTAATCATCTTCTCTCCTCCATGATCTACACTGTAAACACACACACACACACACACACACAGATTAACATTCAGTCAGTAAACAAACACACTTTCAGCAGGCCCCCAATCACAATTATTCTGATCAAACACACTCATTCACTATGGCCAGTTTAGTGAACTATAGCGCATGTGTTTGGACTGTGGGGGAAACCGGAGCACCCGGAGGAAAAACACGCCAACACGGGGAGAACATGCAAACTCCACACAGAAACACCAACTGACCCAGCCAGGGCTCAAACCTTGCAGTGAGGCAATTGTGCTACCCACTGCGCCACCATGATGCTATGTGTAATAATAATGAAAGAAATTAAATATAATTCAGTAGTAAAAAAAAAGTTACTTTTTTTTTTATCCTAAACTTTGACAAAAGGTTTAGAGATTTTGACAGTATTTCCTCTAATATTTGTTATTCTGGAGAAACTCTTATTTGTTTTATTTTGGCTAAAATAAAAGCAGCTTCTAATAATAATAAATAAATAATTTAAGGTCAATATTAATAGTCCCCTTCAGCA